CTTCCACATAACAGATAAGTCATCTCTTTCTCAGCTACCATTTTGTTTAACACCTGTACTACTTGTTACTTTCTAGGTACTTTTTAATTGTGTCTGTAGATGGCTATAGTCACACTGATTATATTTTTGATATCAAATATTGTGGTCGACCGACTTTGAGTTCGTTTTTCTCCTGTTGAATTATGTGTGCCTCTTCCATACTCTCCTTGCCAGTGCAAAAAGTGATATTCTTTCCCATTCCCACAAGACGGTAATGGAGCAGAGTACAAAATCAAGACTATCAAAATATAAAACAGAATATTTCTGGAGAAAATAACAGAGGCTGCAAGAATGGCACCTATATCAGAGCGATTCCTCCAGAGCTCGCCGGGATTGGCGCAGTGGAAGAGCGTCCGTCTCACGACCGCAAGGTCGTGGGTTCGATTTCCAGCACGGGCAAGAAACTTTTTTCAATATTTTATTTACGAATTGAATATTGTGAAGTTTCGGAGCATCGGCTGGGGATAGTCCTGCACGATTCGCTGTTGCGTTCCAATTAACAGTGCTGCTCCTAAAGTGGCGCATGGAGTTAGTAACAAAGCCTACACAGAACACGCAGAAAGATATGATGATGTGGTTGTGAGCATCAGTGAAGAAGTAGGACGGTGTATGTAGGTGGGTGTGGAAAAAACTACCAGCTGAGCGTGAGAGCGGGCCAGCTGCTTAAGTAGACCTCGGTCTCGGGGGTTAACGATGATGGTTAGCAGGCCTGCCACTGCGCATATGGTAGTGAGTACATTACTAGCCTACAAAAACACAGCTGAAAAACTCTGAAAAGAGAGCTGATGGGCGGTGCCTGAAAAGGATGTTAGCCAGCTCTCTTGAGCGAACCACATCAGTCATTGAAAACACTTGGGGTTTGCAAAAAGGTCCCATTGGGGACTAGTTGCTGACGTGGAAACGTCCCCCATCAGTACCAGTACCAGTACCAGTTCCTCCAGAGCGTTTCCTCCTTATGTCGCCGAGTGGCGATCATGCCAGTTGGGCGGGTAAAAAGTACCCTGTACAACTAGCATGATGACATTGATTGCCAGATTTGAGTTTGGTCTGGTCTCGTATCTGTCAGGGTTTTGTTTCTGTTAGAAAACGCAAGTTAGAGAATCATTTCTCTAATCTAGTCTATTTATCAATCCAATCATTCCCTATGGAGTCTTTTCCATCGGGAGGAAGTTTTCATGGTTTTCCACGCGAGAGTTCCCAGGACAAGGAAGATAATCTTCGATATGGCGCCCAACGTGGGGCCATAAGTTATTCCAGATGGAATGAAACGAACCCTCTCAACTGTCTTCCAGGTACTCATTTCGAAAATGATCAGTTTCTAACACAACAAAACGATCAAACTAACAGTACCCTGAAAGGAGTAGCTCTGATCACAGCACATATCTGGGAGGAAATCAAATCTCAACAAACCGTGAATACCATTAAATCATTATTATTATTATTAAGCTACAGCGGTCTGGATTGGGAGTGCCTTCGGCAGTTTTTATTGGATCTTGAAATATATTTTGAGCAGTACCGGATTCCTGAGAGCATGCAAGTTCAGAAAGCCGACGAATTTCTAGAGGGTGAAGCAAAGCGTTGGATTAGTTCTTTCGAAGGACGAAATTTATCATTCTCTGATTTTTCCGGTAGATTCCTCACTAAATTCGATAATGCATCCATCCAAAGTAATCTTTTTGCTCGCTTATATGATGAAAAGCAACGGAATGAATCAGTAGCTGTTTTTTTAACGAAGAAGAAAGCCTTATATCGTCGCTTAGAACCTAATTTGCCTGAAACCACTATGATAACTCGCTTTATGGAGTTGTTAATTCCTGAGCTGAGATTGAATCTGCGAGGAAGATAATCTTCGACACTTACAACAATAAAAATATGAAAAAAAAAACATACAAGCGTGGTCAACTATCATTTACTGAACGCATACCAGTGCAATAAAGTGTATTCCACCGCACGAGAGTTGGTAAACGAATTGAAAATTATGTGTGCCTCTGTCATACTCTCCTTGCCCGTGCGAAAAATGATATTCGTTCCTATTCCCATAAGACGGTAATAAAGCAGAGTACAAAATTAGTTCTATTAAAATATTGTTCTAAAATTGTTCCATCCGTCATTCGGTTGCCCCGGTAAATATGGAAATAACAGGTGCTCAGAGCGAATGTATTAAAATAATTTTCACAGAAAAAAATTGATAGAAATTCAACACGTCTAAATAACTTTCTCGATATGACCTCCAATTTTTTGAATACATATGCGAACCTTTTGAATAAAAGAAAATCTCAGCCTTTGAAAAATATATGACTTATATACAAAATCTTTCATACATCCCCAGACAATCTTGATCTGCTATTTTTTCCATCAAGTAGCTATTAAAATCATGGATATCATAATTTCACCTGAAATTTCCGAAAATATATTTTTTTCCGGTTCGTTAGCGTCCGACATACCATACGGGGGGGGGGGCTTGAAAATATTTTTGAAAAATTTCGCACCCCCCAAAACCGCTCAAACATCGGTACACAGTATTATAAGGAGTCAGCAGCTTTACCCATTCCACATTCAAAAAGTGCAAGCTCTTTTGCCTCAAGACATTGAAACCAGACTTTTATCAATTAGATGGTTATGTGACATGAATAACAAAGATGAACGTTTCATCAATAATATTTTATTTACTGATGGAGCTACATTTACGAGAAACGGGATTACAAATAACACACACCAATGGGTCATATCGAGCAATTTACTTAGACGTGTTGAATTTCTGTCAATTTTTTTTGTAGAAATTATTTCAATACATTCGCTCTGAGCACCCGGTATTTCCATATCTACCTTTTCGTACGTAAAAAGTTACGCCCTCTTCCAATTTCGACGAAATAAGTAGGAGTATGTGAACATTAAGAGATTACCGTAAGCCGCATAGGCATCAAACAATAACCAGTACTTTTCGAATTATCTTGAAAACGAATAATTTTATCGTGATTTTACTAGAGACAAAAATACTCAAAAATGATTAAACACTTGAAGAAAAATAGATCGGAAGTCATTAGCGCTCGAAAAAAAAATGGGGGTAAGTGTGTACTTGACCCACGGTATTTTGAATATTTGACAGTTATTTTCTGTTTTGTTTTCCTCACACGATGTAACTCTTTGTGCTGGAGTAATGTTCTGATTTTGCGAATGATATCTCATTAAAAACGCGAGTAATTAAAAAAAAAACAGTTTTCAATTTACAACTTCGACACCCTGTATATCGAATATGGAGGGCTAAAATGAAAGATGGTATTTGAAAACTCATATTGTTTTTGTTCAAGGAATATATGATTGATGGATTGACCTCCTTTTAGCGGACACCCTGTATAATGAATAATTATTTTTTTTTTATTTATTTATTAACGGACAAGCCAATTATACAATTTACAGAAAGAAAGTATAAAAATACAGAGCACGTACATATTATCATATCTATGAAGAAGACTAACACAAAAAAAAATGTGGAAGGCTAAATCGAATAGAAAGATGAAGATTATGAAAAAAGTGATTAACAGTTTTTTATCGCTCTCCTGAGAGACAATAAATATGAATTGTAAAGTTCAATTTGGTAATTGTTTGTGTTTGCTGTTTTCATAATTCTAAAAATTGATTCATTTTGGCCATAATTTGTCCTGCAGAATGGTATCTTGAAAATGTCACTATTTCTGTTTCTTCTTGTATTTGCGGAAAGCATATTAATCAGAGCAGCAATTTCAGGAGAATCAATGTAACCATTGATAATTTTATGGAGGAATAATAGATCAATTTCCATTCTTCTATGTATCAACGTATTCATGTTTTAAATATCTAATATTTGTGGATAGGTATATTCATCCCTATTGAATCCCATGTGATATGCACAACTTCTTAAAAATGTATTTTGACAACCCTCTAAAAGATCAGAATCAACTTTGTAAAATGGTGACCAGATTCTATTCAAGAATAGACCTCACCTGTGCACAATGATAATAATTTCAACAGCATTAACAGATAGTTCTTTAGCAGAACGGAAAGAGAAGCCTAGCATTTTACGAGCAGGAGATGATGTTTCTTTTATGTGATGTTTGAAGGTCATTTTCGAGTCGAATATTACTCCTAAGTCTTTGATTGTATTGGTTACTGAGAGATTATAGTATCATTAACTCTGTGAATATGATCAATAGCATCATGGCTTCGTGAAAATGTTATCTTTTGACATTTATTCAAATTCAGTTTCAATAAATTGATATGGCACCATCTGGAAAAATTATTTAGATCGAGTTGCAAACTCTCAGCATCAGAAATGCATTGAACCGTTCTAAACATATTCAGCTCAACGGCAAACATCAAGAAGGAACTGTTGATGATGACATCAGAGAGGTCATTAACAAAAAGATTAAATAACAGAGGTCCCATGTGAGATCCCTGTGGTACACCTGATGGTATTTCGATTAGTTGTGAAACTGAGCTCCCATATTTCACATATTGGACTCTACTTTAGTGAGATAGCTTCTGATCCAACTTAGAATATTCGCCTCTATACCCAAAGCTTCAAGTTTTGCAAGTAACAGACTATGGTTAATACACTACACTGTTTTACCACTAACCAAACCGATTTTTTGACGCCTCGACACGTGTTTCGCTAACTATGTTAGCATCTTCAGGAGAAGATTAAAACTGTTTTAATCTTCTCCTGAAGATGCTAACATAGTTAGCGAAACACGTGTCGAGGCGTTAAAAAATCGGTTTGGTTAGTGGTAAAACAGTGTAGTGTATTATCGTGCCAAAGGTTCCAGTCTTCGATATAGACTATGGTTAACTCTATCAAAGGCCTTAGAGAAGTCTGTGTAAATAGAGTCTACTTGCAGCTTATTCTCTAATGAATTGATGATATAGTTTTGATAAAGCAACAGCTTCATTTTTAATTTCTGAAACGCTCGTTTTTCGCACGCCAGGTACAAAGACAGGTACCGCACGTACGACTCCCAACCCTACCACGCCAACGCCCACAACAACGAGCGGTACCTACCGCCCAACGCCCATGTGCCCGTAGAGCGGTACGTCCCGGAGCCGTACCACCAGCAGTACCACGGCTACAAGCAGTACCCTCCTGTGGGGGCGGCCAGCCCCCTGGGGGCGGCAAACGGGGACCCCTACATGCGACGCGATCTGGCGTTCCATTACCGGCTGCCGCTGCCGTACGCCTCTGGGCAGTACCAGCGTGGGCGGTACTCGGGACACGTGGGCCGGCCCAAGTGCTGTCAGTACCAGGAGCACGCGAAGAAGTTGGGGTGAGTGGATCATTAAAAGAAAACGCAACAAGTTGATATTTAGTAGAATTTGAATTTTTTATTTTTGACTCGGCCTTTATTTGATGAAAATCCATAGCAAATGTTTTTTTTATGTTCTGGTTCCCACGAAAAAGGTTATCCTGTAATGTCCAGAGAACATCGTGAGAACCAAGGAAAAAAAGTCTTTGGAAAGAGATGTTCTGCAGGTCTCCAAAGTGACCACGAAGGGGTGCGAATCCTCAACTCGACGAATTAATCTAGTGGGGACTGCCATGGGAGGAACAATTGTTGATATTATAAGCCGTGTGGTGGTCGGATTAGAATAACCCCACGGTAAGTCCTGCCTGTCGTAGAAGGCGACTAAAAGGACGCCAATATGTAGAAGATGGCAACGCCATCGCCCGGTGCGATACCACCACATCAACCATAGGCACTGTGAAATGGGTATACTTACCCGTGTTTCAGTAGCTGGTTGATGTTCCGGCCAACCCAACCCAACCCAATTTCCTTTTCCTTCTACGCCAACCTCCCTTCTCTATACAGAATAAGCGATGATGAGTTCTCCTCAAGTAAAATTATCCGGAAGTAAAATACCTCTCCATTCGGATTTTCGGGCGAGAGGTGCTAGAGGGGGTTCACCATCGACTGAAAAAGTCCTCAAGAGAGACCTATGTAACATCCGAGGTCTAAGTAAGAACATCAACGATGTCCATCGACACCTTCAAATTGAAAAGCCAGACATATTGGCTCTTACTGAGACACAGGTCAATTCATCCACCAATACGACCTATCTGCTCTGTCCTGGGTACGAACTCCACACACGTTTCAGATTCAATTGAGGTCTCTGCCTCTACTCTAAAACGAATCTCTCATGTCAACGAGAAAAAACTTTGGAACCAAATAAGTTTGATGTCAAGTGGTTCAAAGTCGATAGCCAGAAACAGACCAAATACCTTTGTTGTCTTATCACCAAATGATCCATCCTATGAAGAGCTCTTCGAATTCTTGTCCCTGAATCTTGACCAAATTCAACAGAACCATCCAGCAGCAGAAATCATCATCATGGGCGATTTCAATGTACACTGCTTGGCTCGTACACTCTAACAGAACGGATGAAGCTGGGCGACAAGCCGAAGCCTTAGCCATCACTCACGGTTTAGAGCAGCTTATCAAAGAACCCACACGAATTCCCGATGCCAATAACCATTCAGCTAACATACTTGACTTATTCCTCACTGATAATTCAGCACCCTACACCATAGATGTACGAGCTCCACTTGGCAATTCTGACCACACACTCATCTCCACAACCTGCCCATTCTTCATTCCATCAACTGCTCCGGCACCCCCACATCTTATATGGCATTACAATTTAGGAGATTGGGACGGTCTCCGCATGTTTTTCTCCGAGTTTCCTTGGCATAGAGTATGCTTTGACTCTGAGGACCCTTCACAGTGTGCTGCGGAAATATCCGAGATCATCATGCTCGGAATGGACACTTACATACCTCATTCTTCGAAAATATCATCACCATCGAAACCCTGGTTCAACAGAAACTGTTCTAGAACTGTTGCCTTGAAACAAATAGCCTACCATCGCTGGCGCAAAAACCCTAACCTCGCGACTAGAGCTGAATACGTTGATTCCAGGAATAACTGCAGCCAAACGATAGATGCTTCTTAAGAAACATACAATGCCAAGATAAGATCGAAACTCATAGATTGTTCCATTGGCTCCCGTTCATTTTGGTCCCTTGCTAAAGCGGTCGGAAGAAATTTCACTAATAGTTCATTTCCACCACTGTCCAAATCCGACGGCACATTAGCAACAACATCGCAGGAGAAAGCAAATATTTTTACAGAGATGTTCGCAGTAAACTCTTCTTTAGATTCCCAAGGAGAACTGCCGCCAGACATTCCACCCGTTGAGAGTCGAATTCCCGAAATCGTCATCCGTCAACGCACAATCAGACGAATTTTGCTTGGTCTCAAAACGAATAAGGCTAACGGTCCCGATGGAATTCCACCCATCATCCCCAAAAAATGTGCACCAGAATTAACACCGATTCTCTGCAAGTTGTTTACTATCTCGTACAGGTCGGGTATTTTTTCATCATGCTGGAAGACAGCTAGAGTCCAACCAATCCCCAAAAAAGGGAACAAGAACCTGCCCAACAACTACAGGCCCATTGCCCTGTTATCAGTAATCTCCAAAGTGATGGAGAAAGCCATCAATATTGAGCTTATCAAATATCTGGAGAGCTCGGGAATCATCAATGATAGACAATACGGCTTTCGCCACCGAAGATCTACTGGAGATCTACTTGCCTACGTCACCCATTTATGGCAATCTTCAATAGACAAACACGGGGAATCTCTAGCTGTCGCGTTGGACATATCGGAAGCATTCGACCGTGTTTGGCACGAAGGACTCCTCCACAAACTACCATCTTACGGCTTACCACCTCAGCTATGCCATCTCTTATCGAGTTTTCTTTCAGGCAGATCACTTCACGTGGTGGTGGACGGTGTATCGTCTGATACCATTGGCATCAATTCCGGCGTTCCACAAGGATCAATTTTGGCACCAACATTATTCCTTCTTCATATCAATAATCTGTTGGGAGTAACAACTTGCCCCATCCACAGCTTTGCAGATGATAGTATCCTCCATACTGCGTTCTCTTCCAGAATTACCATTTCTTCCCAGAAAACTAAGATCTCACGGCAGAGGCAGTTCAATGCTGTTAATGAAGACCTTGCTGAAATCACAGCCTGGGGAACCAACAACCTAGTTGAATTCACACAAGCCTGTATTTTCTCTAGAAAGGCGGAACTCAGTATGCCCGATATTGTAATGTCTGGCTCCACCATCCCCACCAAGCCCACCATATCTATGCTCGGTATTTCCATCAGCAACACTCTTTCATGGGATAATCGGATTCTTGTTCCGTGCGAAAAGCTACTTTACACCTCAACAGCTTCTTATGATCTAAAAAGCGCAGATACCGCCTGTTCTAGAATACTGTTCCCACATATGGTGTTCAGCACCAAAACATACGCTGATGCTCTTAGATTCCATCCAGAGAAGAGCCATCCGCCTGGTGGGTGACGCCACACTCACTCACTCTTTGACATCATTGGAACACCGTAGAAAGGTCGGCGACCTTTCACTTTTTTATCGATACTTCCACGGTAAACGTGCTTCGGAGATCTCTGCTATCATCCCTTCACTAGAAATACCAGTCAGACGAACTAGACAAGCTCAGTCAGCACATCCTTTCGTTGTCAACCTCAAAAGATGTCGAACAGCACTTTATCAAAACTCCTACATCCATAGAACGGCTAGGCTCTGGAATTCATTGCCTGAGGAAGTATTCCCAACAACATATTATAATCTCCAGAAATTAAAAAAAAAATCCAATACCTACCTCCTATCCCTATCCTCCCTAGGAACGCACGATGTTCTTTGAACATTATAGGGATTCCCTTTCGTGCGCTCCAAGCGATAAAAAAAAATTGAATTCCGAATGATTCCAGATAATGATACATAGAGAATATATTTCCTTAGAATCAAATGAGTTCCTATATTATTTCTCGACATATAACAAATAAAATTGAATATTTCGTGGTATTAGCCTGGTGAGTAGTTGTTTCCTGTTAGAGATTTCGACATTTATTTACTCATTCCTAAAGAAAACATCCCAATAGAAAGTAATCACATCATTTGGATGACTACCCTAATAAAACACTTATGTCCCATGGATATCCTTAGGACGTCCAGTCGGGTCATTCAGGACGTCCATAGGACGTTAGAATTTGGTACCGTGGACGTCCAATGGACGTCTGTGGGATGCACAAATGTCCCACTTGAGGACCGACTAGGGACGTCCTTGAGGGATGTCTTTGGGACAACTATACCTGAATCTTACAGCATTCCTCATCGAGCACTACAGAGGACATCCTTAGGACATCCATAGGACAACCTATCAGCAACGCTGGGGGATATCAATTGGATGACCATTGGAATTCCCAGGGACGTACGAATTATTCTTGAATTTGAATTTTTCTGGGTCCCTTTAGGACCAGATCTTGCATAACTGATTAGAACATCCATTTGAGTTGATGGTCCGTAGAAGGTCCCCAAAAAGTTTCCCAAGGATGTCCAATGGACTTACGTGAAGGACATTGCCGAGGAGTACTTATAGCCTACAAGCAATCATTTGTCGGCGAGGTGTGAGTTAACGTCCTCGCAGGGACAACATATCGAAAGTACCGACTGGGACGTCCATAGGACGTTATTTCTAGGACATTGGAAGAGTACAGTTCATGTACCAATAGGGACATCCAACGGATATCCCTAAGGGACATTTCGATTTTTATACGATCCTGGAAATATTGAGGGCGTCTGTGCAGAGATATTTGAAGGAATGTATCATGAGGGACATTTCAGGGTTGTCTAGAAACGTCATTATATAAGATCTGAAATCATGGCAGAATATGTACTACTCGGGACATCCGATGGATGTCCCTAAAGGAACGTTTAAAATCATATCCCATCAGGGACATCTCAAGGACGTCCTTGCATGGTCATTCTAAAATATGTACCACGTGGGAAGTCTAAGGGATGCTATTTCTAGGACATTTGAAATGATGTACCAGCTGGGACATTCCGTGGACGTCCTTGTTCGGACATTGCATGAGATGTACGGGATGGGACGTCCCAAGGACACTTATTTTTGGTTCGGGACATTCGGACGTGAATTGTACCAAATAGGGACGTCCCTAGGACGTTGTGTGCTATTATAGGGTATGTATCTATGTCATTATCATTGTTTGCAGCGAGGGTTACCAATTGTCCAAAGCCAGTCCTGGTTCCAGTTCCAGCAGCTCGCTGGCCAGCCAAAAAGACACCTCTACCGTCAGCCTGAACAACATCAACAGAGATCA